GCCAGCTGGCCTCCTAGGAATATGGCCAGCCTGGGAGATTGGGGTACTGGAGGGACCATGGCTTACACCGCACCTCATACTGTGCCAGGGGACACTGGCTCCCCGCCAGGACTAGTGGAGCTTCTTGGGCTACCGTGGGCCTCTCCCTCCAGCACCCAAACACTGGCATACCCATGAGCCTCCAGGGACTGGGGGGTGCTGCCTGGCGCTCCACACGGAGGTGTTCCACGTGTCCTTAATCCTCCTCAAGCTTGCACCGAAAAGCCTGTGCGTGCGGACTGGTGTCATGTCCCCATGCCTGTTTAACACTCACCTTAGGTGTGCTGGAAGGTGGTGGCATCCTCATCAGGCCTTTGCTCAGGTGGGTGAGGTGAGCCCGCGTAGGCTGGGGGCCGCTGCAGGGCCGGGAAGCGCGCACACACCTGCAACGCAATCCCACACACACTAACCAAAGGCCGAGGTAACTTTTCCTAATTTGTTCACAGTAACACTCAAAACACAATTGACTTATTTTTAACTCAGCGTGGTAAACACGCAAAGGAAAAATTATCTAGCCCTCTCACAAGATTAAAAATATTGATTTTTCTCCCTACAGCCACAAGTCTGTTAAATTAGCTCTTGTGATGCAGAGAGATGCAGCTCTGTGACACCCCTGGGACATTTTGTCTGATGGCCATTTAAGCAGTAATGTCTCTGGATCAAAAGCCATCCCACTGGACGATAGTATCTTAACGTCTCACGTCGTTTAAAAATGAGTAATGTAAGGGCAGGAGAAAACACGGCAGGGTAAGTAACCAACACCCTGCTGATTTATGGAAAAAGCAGCCAATCGTCTGAAGGGAGAGCAAAGGAGAGGGTTGGCCTGGCAGAGATGAAAAGAGAAACAACCCCCCCCCTCCCCCGAAACAGCCGAACTCTCCAGAAACTCTGATCCCTTTGTGGCTAAGGAAGTGATCTGTACATTCTCTCAACTGCCATTTCTCGGAACGATGGTGACCAGCAGAGTACCTGAGTTTCTCAATAGTGTTTTTTTTATTTGTAAACAGCAGCCGTATCAAGGTCTTCCTTTTGAGATACACCACAAAGCCCGCGGCAAGAAGACACAGGGTGGCCACCAGGAGTCCTATAGTGAGGCTTTGCTTATCTGGAACAAAACACAGTCAAAACAGAACGAAACTCACGTCACCAGGCACTTCTGACGGAAGCTGTGAGGTATCCGATTGTGGCCTTTCCACCAAGGCAAGCTTGGAAAGAACAAGCAGAAACGAAGGGAGTAAATCATAACGTGATGTGATCATAAAGAAGTCTTCCTTCAAAGGTCACGTCTGAGGCTCAGCCTGTGCTGCCGTCATTCATTTCTGACAATGCTGGGACTTGCCAGACAGGAATGTGGGTTGGTAGGGGGACCCGCAGCCCTGAAGATTC